ACACCCATGATCCTAGCACCAGGAAGACAGGGGCTAGATGATTACTGGGTTTGCTAGCCTGATGGCCTCCCTAACTTAGGGAACTCCAAGTTCAGTGAGAGGCCTTTTACTCCAGTATAAAGTGGGAGACAATTAACAAGACACTTGAGGTCAAATTCCAAAATTCCAGCCTCCACAAACATACACACAGACACATGTACACATCTGTATGCACGCATACACACACACACACACACACACACACACACACACACACACACACACACATAATATTTACATCTGTGTACATTACATCTTAAAAGAAAAATTTATCAACAGATGGAATTTACGCTTTAAAGAGGTAGCAAAATAGGAACAACTCAGACGCAAAACTAGCAGAACAGAAAAAACAAAGTTCTGTGAGAGCATGGTTAAAGAATAAGAAAAGAAGAACAAAACTAAAGGTAATTTTTTAAGAGAACAATAAAATTAATGAACTTTTTCTAAACTGATTTTTAAAAAGAGAGAGAGAAATTTCAAATTTCTACAATCAGAAATGACTATCAGAACAGGACTGTTACAGGTAGCCCACCAAAGATGACTACTCAGAAAGTTTATAGCCACCTGAAAACCTTTATTTCAGCCAGCTGGGATTATACTCAGATATTCAGGTCCTAAGTATAGTACCAAGTGTTCAGAGCACATGAGTTTTGAAGGCAGAAACCACATCCTGGCTTCTTGCTCAGCTGCAGGGAGGGATTCACATAAGCAAGCAGTTCAACAGAAACTCAGAGAAGTTAGCTAGGGCATCTTGTGAAAGACCCCCGAAGGTAGTCTTCCCTCTGGAGAGACCCTCGCCCAGACATCACACCGAGACCACAAGTCAGATGCAAACAGCAAGAGGCTTTATTCAGGAACACGGGTACCCGGGGCAACACAGTCCCTCAAGAGGCTCAAGAGACTGGCGCGCCGACGGGCTGGAGTGGAGGGTTTTTATAGGGTCTGGCAGCAGAAGGGCGGGTACAGAAGCGAGAAGCATGGTTTACAGGGTTCTGATTGGACGATTCATATGAGGCCAGGTTCAAACTCAGGACAGTTCGTGGTTTTTCCCCGAGCTCGACACGCCTGCTGACT